TGGGGTCATCTACATTGATGTCAAAGACTGGAAGAATAATGAAAATGAATGAATGAGGATCAGTGACCAGGTGATCCATAGATGACAATAAAGAGGAATGGGAGGGTGGTACTGCTGGATGTTATTCTGAGCCTCAGAAAAAGATGGAGTTTGTAAGAGTAAGAAGAAATAATCATCTAGAAATGGCAATGAAGAGCAAAGAAAATACTCAGGCCAGAAACTGGTAAACCATCCTCAACCAAGCAGTCAAATTTAACATTACCCAAATGGCAGAAGCTGACATTATGTGTCTCCTGATATGATGTGCTGAAAAAGACACATCACTTCTTTTTTTTTAAGACACATCACTTCTATACTATTTTTGCCAAAAATATTTCATCTGTGTAAGTGTAAGGAAATAATCAGACAAACTCAAATTGTGGTTTGGTCTGTAAAATAGCTGACTAACCCACACTCTAAAAATGTGAATCTCATAAAAGATGGAGGAGATCTTCTTACAATGATGAAATGAAGTGTATGGTCCTTGATTGGATTATGGAGCCAAAAAAAGGCTGTTATTAAGGACAATATTTACACTATTGGGAGGGAACATCTTTTGAATATGAATTCTGTATTAAGATTATTATGTCACTATTAAATTTCTTTAGTTTGGTACTGACATTGACACCGTAGTTACATAGAATAATGATGAAGTTCTAGGGGTGAAAGCATCAGCGTCTTCAACTTAGTCAAATTTTTTGTAGATCTGAAAGTTTTCAAAATAAAAACTTGGAGAAAAATTACGTTGCAAAATGTCAAATGTTTATGAAAATGAAATAGTAGAATAAGTATATTTTTAAATTATAACAAACACTGGAAGATGGAGAGGAGATAGGGGGATAGTGTAAATGAGCAGATTCCCCATATTCCATATCAGGAGTCAATAACTATTTTCTAATTCATAACATATACTAATAATAGGATTTATTAAAGGCTTTATCTGTGACTGGCACTGTTCTAAATGTTTTATTTATATTAATTTATTTAATCCTTAATATTAACCCGTTGAGGTAGGTCCTATTATTTGTTCACATTTCACATAGGAGTAAATTAAGTTGCACAGAGGTAGCAAGCAGAAATTCAACCCAGAGAGTCAGGATTTGACCTTAAATGGTTATATTTTTGTTAAAAAGATGAAAATTTATAAGCTAAGTGTTCAACTTAAGAAGCTAGAAAAAGACTAGCGTAATAAAGGGAAAAAAGTAGAAGGAAATTAGTGAAACAGAACACAGATATTTAATACAGAGAATCAAGAAAGCCAAAATTTGACTCTCTTTATAGATTAATAAAATTATCAAACCTTTGGCAAGACTTAATTTAAAGACAAAATAAAAATAAAGGAGTGAAAAAGAGCTATAACTAAATACATTGCAAACAATAAAAGAGAAGGGACTATTATGAAAAATTTTGCACATAAATATGAAAACGTAGGTGAAATGAACAAATCAGAATTTGCTGAAACTGGCTCAAGAAAAATAAAATATTTATGTAGCTCTATTGTCACAAAATATTTTAATTCCATAGTTTAAAATCTTCCCTAAAAGAGAATCCAGACCCAGAATTTTACTGAAGGAATAAATAACTCCAGTCTTATACATCTGTTTCAAAATGTAGAAGAGGGAATATTCCCAACCTATTGTATGAAACTATCATAAACCTCAAAATTTGATAAGAATAGTATGAGAAAGGATCATTATAGACCAATTTAGCATAGAGGCAAAAATTCTAAAGAATATTGCAAAGTTGAATGTGGAAATTTATAAGAAGGATACTCCATTATGACCAAGTTGGATTTATCTTAGCCATGCAAAGATGATTTGACATGTAAAACTGTTGACTGTAATTTGCCATATAAACAGATTAAAGGAGAAAAATAGTATGCTTATCTCACTAAATGCAGAAAAGGTATTTGATAAAATTTAACATCTATTCATGATGAAAAAATGAAAAAGTTATTAGCATATTAGGAATGGAAGAGAACTTCCTTAACCTGAAAAGAATGATCTGTTATTCCGTTAAGACGGAGTACAGTTCTTTTCGTTAAGTGCAGATTGTTTACTTCTTTTCAGTTAACTGATAGTTTTTTTTTATTTGAAGTATAGTTCATTTACAGTGTTGTGTTAATTTCTGCTGTACAGCAAAGTGAGAGTTAACTGATAGATTTAACCAGGACCTCCTGGAAGCAGGACTTAACTCAGAGGAGTGAGTCTAATGATAAGAATTTCTAGGATCATTGTAAGTCAGGCAGAGGAAATGTTTTTGAGAAGCCCTGTGGTGCTCTTCAAATCGTATTAATATGCATAGACTATGGTTTATGTATTTTCATTCATCCAGTAAATACTAATTAAATAACTACACTGTACCAGGCTCTCTCTTGGGTGGGGATACCTTGATGAAAGACAGTCCTGTTGTCCAGAAACTCACTCCAGTGGAGACAGTCATACAGTCAGAAGACGCTGCCTGTGATAGGGGAATGCACAGAACGTCTTGGGGAGCACAAGGAAGCTCGTTAATTCACACACTGGAGGAATGGGCTAATGAAGGAAGACTTGGAACAGTATTTTAAAGGACAAGTTAGAGGGCTAACCTTAGAGCCATATTAAGATCAGACATTAATTTGACTCCTCTTCACTCTCCTTTTAAACTTATAATTCTATTTATGACTTCAGCCAATAATATAGCTAATATTTACTGAGGACTTACTATGTGCCCTGCCCTATTGTAAGCACTTTATGTGTATTAACCCATTCAGTCCTCATAGCAGTGTTATGAGGCATGTACTATAATTAACCCCATTTTACGATGAGGAGACTGTTAAGTAACTTTCCTAAGATTACTCAGCTAGTCACAGATAGAGCCTGATTCAGACCTTGGCGTTCTTATTCCAGACCAGTGCTCCATGTGCCCTTATCACTAAACCACACTGCTTCTCCACAGATTGTAACCATTGTAGCCTTCCGCTTTTCAATAGAGTTGTTTGGTTTTTTTTTAAACGAATTTTTTGATGTGGACCATTTTTAAAGTCTTTATTGATTTGTTACAATATTGCTTCTGTTTTATGTTTTGGTTTTTTGGCCGCAAGGCATGTGGGATCTTAGCTCCCTGACCAGGGATCAAACCTGCACCCCCTGCATTGGAAGGCGAAATCTTAACCACTGGACCGCCAGGAAGTCCCATCAATAGAGTTTAGAGAAAGGTGCAACAAAGAGAACTACAGAAGCTGAGATCTGTGAAAACTTTGCTATGAATGTAGTATTTGTATTCTTGTTGTCTTAAGCTGCAAGTCTTGATCTTAGACATTTTGGGCATAGTCTCTGGATACCACATTTTCTCAGGTTAGATCTACCATTTCAATCGAGTTAAAAGGGTTCACCTATAAAATATTAAGAAGTAGAGCTTAGGTTGTTTTCATTTGTTTGTGGTTTGGAGTTTTGTTTTTGTGTGTAGATAGATGCCCCAAGGCATCTTTTACCAAAAAATTCTATCTAAATGTTGTTGAAGCTCCCACCTTTGCCATGAAGTCTCTTTTGTTTACTTTAGGTTTTTGTGGGAGTTTTTTGGGTTTTTTTCCTCTTCCTTATCCCAGGCTTTTTCTGCTCCCTTGTTCAGGATTCTATAGATTTCAAGTAAAAGAAATTCAGTTCAAAATAGTTAAGCTGAAAAGAGTGGTTATTGCAAGAGTACTAAGACCATTGACTGAATCAGTAGACGGGGCAGTTCCTAGACACAGGAATGAAGTTGGAGATTTGGTTCCCCCAGCACTCCCTCTCTCTCCAACTCTGTCTCTAATCTTTGCTTCTCTCTTTCCTGTTTTGACTTCATTCCTACCCCTGATGGCCTCACTAGGAAGTGGGGCAGCTCCATGTTTACCTTATCCCATTTTAATGAGTTTAGTGAAGGAAAGACTTCTTTCTCCCCTCTTCAATATATCTGAATCCCGGGAAGGGCTTGTGGCCCAGCCTGGATCATGTGCACATCCTTTGAACCAGTCATTCTTGCCAGGGAGGTGAGGTGCTGTGATTGTTTTAGATCCAGTGACCACACTTGGGTGGGAGTTAGGAGCACTGAATCTGACAGACTCATCAAAACCACATAGAAGGGTGGGATTGGGGGGTAAATCAGCTTCCCAAAAGGAGGAAGGGTGCAGTTAGCAGAAGAGGGAAAGGAAATGCTGAACAGATAGTCACAGGTTTCTGCGAAGACACTTACCTATATCCCAGATTTTAGCACTTTACTTTGAGACTGAACTCTTTGAAGACAAGGACTATGGACTTGGGAGTCAAGACGGCCTTGGATTGGATCGCTGTGAATCTTTATAGCACTTTGCACAGAGCTAGATGCTCAATAAACAATTGTTTATTTTAATCCCTGTTTGGAATATGTTTCATTATTTTGGCCCATTCTAGTCATGGTTTTAGGTAGACATTATCTTTTCCATTTTTAGTTATTAAATTATTTAATATATTATTATTTAAATTAAATAAATATTGAATAATTATTAAATTATTGAATAATTGCTTCTGTGTTTAGTTCACTATTTTGCTGGGTAAAAGTTATGGGTAACTTGGTTAAACTACATGTGTCAAAAATATGACTGAGCAAAATTCCTCTTCAAATGTTAGAATAAGAAAATTGTTTCCCTGTATTTTTAATAGATTGCTTTTTATTGAAAAGGAAGTACCAAATCAAAGAATTAGCTTGTGAAAGATTCTGTGTTCCTTAGAAATGAATTAATATAAAAGCAGATGATTTTAACATGCATTTGTCCTCATTGGCCACATACCTTAAATACTTACTGTTTTCAAGAATTTTTCAATCATCTGGATTTTTTAAGACTTTTAATCTTTTTACTTTAGTTAAACTTGCTTTATGATTTTTATCTTTTAATGCAGTTGCCACATTTTTTCATAAGACAAAAGTATTTAAATCAATGCCACGTTAACTTCTTATTTTCTCCTTAGGAACTGAGAGAAAGCTACAATACACAGCAGTTAGCCCTTGAACAACTTTATAAGATCAAACGTGACAAGCTGAGGGAAATTGAAAGAAAAAGATTAGAGCTAATACAGAAAAAGAAACTAGAAGACGAGGCTATAAGGTAATATAGTTGATAAATTTATTATACTATATTGCTATTAGAATTCTAATTTTGTTGCCCATATTTTTAGTTTGACTATGAAAAATTAAGGGGAATAAAATGATTATCCTAAGATGCTAATTAGATTCTAAATTTTAGAAGTTCAGTCCTTCTTTTGTGGACTGAGTTTACAGTAACCAATTTTATGTTCCATTAGTGAAAAATACAGACTTTTGAGTCAGACCTGATTTAGAATTCTTGATCTACCACTTACTATCTGGATGATCTTGGATAAGTCATTTTACCTTTTGGAACCTCAGTTTTTCCATCTGAAAAATAGAAACATTAATGCATACCTCATAAGTAACTCAGAATTAAATAAAACTAAAGAACCAAGTATAATGTTTTGCAGGTAATAAGCACTCATTATTTCTCTCTCTCAATAATAAATCCATGACCGTTTCCTGAAAAATCATAAAAACCAAGTACTTAATTTTATAGAGTGTAATACTGAGTGTAGAAATGCCATGTTGATGCAGGCTTCTTTGTATATATCTGAGCTATATCAACTGCCTACATTTATAGCAAGGAAAAGTGAGACAGTTGTGGTATCTGAAGCTTAGAACCATTCATTTAGAGACTTTGCATGATTTTTTTTTTCTGTCGGTAAGATTCTATTTCTAATATGTTCCTATGTTTCTCCCAAGTTCTCTAGTGTCAGAAATTATTATAATTAGTGAACAAATATCAATAAACCAACATTTCTTTGCCCTGGAGAAGAGTAATAGTTACTGGGAAGAGAGCTAATAGTTACTGGGAAGGCAAGAAAGACACATTACCATATAGCAGGCCTCTTTTCTTAATGGCTTTAGAATAACCACTTAAACACATTTTTACTGAGTGGTCACTGTTGACTGCGATACAGGTAGTCTCTGGGTTACTCCTTGCCCCTAGATTTCTCATAATTCTAGTAGGAGAGTCAGACAGCTAAACAAATAGCTATAATATTCTTTATTCTAAGACCCCTACTTTTGTGATTCCCTAACAAGAGATCCCAGAATAATATAGACGTGGAGACAGTAAAGTTCAAATTAAGGCTTTTATTTGCCACCTAACTTGTGCCACTTAACATTGCACAAGGGAACTGTGCAGTGCAGTCCCTGTGTTAGAATTTTCTTTTTTTTTTTTTTTCTATTTGAATTTATTCATTTTGGGCTCTCCCTTAGATATAAGAAGTCCATTTCTAAAAAGTAAAATGAGTAGTTGTCAAAGAAATTGACAGACATCAAAATAAATCATCAAAATCAAAATAAGTCACATTCAGAATGTTCCACAAATATTATTTTAAGTCTTCTGAAGAGCATCCTCAAATAAAACAACTTTTATTCATTCATTCATTAGTAGTAAATAATCTTCTTGATTGACAGAGATGGAGACTGTCATGTGCTAGTAAGAATTTTCTCTTTACATATGCAAGTATCTTGATATCTCTCCATCATTGCTCACAATTCCTTTCAGGCCAACAGACCGTATTAGTAATACACATTTTCATTTTATTCATTGTCCTCGCACATTATCCTGCTTTAGTAGAGGGAAGAAATCAGAACATGTAGAATTGGTCCAGAGCTGGGTCTTAGTACTACATCTTGATTTCTTGGCCATTTGCTCAGGTATGTTGCCTTCTCGTCCCAAGCTATTGGTAATAGTCAGGTTTTCACATTGTAGATGTGGCCTCTTTGTCCAACTTCTGAAGCATCTTCTGGCCGTGGACCAGTTTCTCATCCACAAACACGCACATAGAAACTTTACCAAAATTTAATTTTTTATTCTCTTAACTCTCTAGTCTTTATCCCAGTAAATATGTGGCAGGTACTCTGATAGTGGTGTTTATAATGCTATGGGAATTTAAATAAAGGTAGGTTGGGTCATCCTAGGCATGGGAGAGTGTCAGGGAAAGTTACTGAGAACTGGGAAAGGGAATATTGGTCGGAATTGCTTAAGGACTGCAAGAGAAGCATGCCTCTCAAAGGAGAGCTGGATGTCAGTTACAGAAAGTGCTAGAGAAAACACTCTGCAAAGTGATAGAGGGTGTAGGAGGATTTGCAAAGGGTTGAGAGGAAGTTAGTTGTGGGATAATGAACCAGGAGTATGAAGTATAAGACATTTGGGGGATGAGGAGGAAGGGTTCATGACTGAGTGGGTGTACAGTTTTTGGAATTATCCAGGATTTCCAAATTCCTCCAGGACTTATAGGAATAGAGATATGGAATTAAGCCAAGACTTTCACCTTGGTGGGGCATAAATGCCCCCAGATCCTAGGGATGCATCCAGTCACCATCTTCATAGCCCCTGATAATGTGTGCTGAGACTTGAAGAAGGTGCTAATTAGTGGTGACTGCTCTGCCTCCAGTAAGATCATAAAAAGTATATGCAAGAAGAACTCCAGTGAGCATTAATTCTAATACTAAAACAACTAAGCTGATCTTAGACCATCTTGACCAGCTAGAAACCAAGCTGCAGCTATATCAAATGTCATAGAAACGTGTACAGAAGTATGGACCTATAGAGGAAAAATGCTCTATTATCTAAAATCTAACAAATGAAAGACTTTTAAGTGACAATGTAAGAAGTAGATAATCTGTCCAGCAGCATTTCCTATTTTCACAGCAATGACTCAATCCTGAAAACAGGGATTAGCTAGGATAGTGGGAATAAGAGTTTGACAGCAGTCCTTGTGAAGAATCTGGAGACAAGGGAAGGAAATTTAGATACAATTTTTAGATTCGTTTTCTGAACAGTTCCATTACAGTTTTTTTCCACTTTTTTTCTTGAGTTTGGGAGGTTGGCTGGCAGGAAGAAATTTGAGAGAGTGAGAAATTGTTAGTCACACTCCCTAGCTCATCTACTTGTGCTTAGTTTCTCTCTTGATTAATTGATTGATTAATTGGTTTTCCCCTTCAGCCCTGACCCCCATGGTTTCTCCACACACCCCTACTAATATGTCTTTGCTATATATAATAAATATATAACTATATAAGATTGTATTTTTTTTTTAATTTTGTTATTTTTGCTGTGTTGGGTCTTCATTGCTGCACGCGGGCTTTCTCTAGTTGCGGCGAGCAGGGGCTACTCTTTGTTGCGGTGTGCGGGCTTCTCATTGCCATGACTTCTCTTGTTGCGGAGCACAGGCTGTAGGCGCACGGGCTTCAGTAGTTGCAGCACACGGGCTCACTAGTTGCAACATGTGGGCCCTAGAGCACGCAGGTTTCAGTAGTTGTGGTGCATGGGCTCAGTAGTTGTGACGCACAGGCTCTAGGGTGCACGGCTTCAGTAGTTGTGACCCATGGGCTCAGTAGTTGTGGCGCACGGGCTTAGTTGCTCCGCTGCATGTGGGATCTTCCTGGCCCAGGGCTCAAACCTGTGTCCCCTGCATTGGCAGGCAGATTCTCAACCACTGCGCCACCAGAGAAGTCCCTAAGATTATATTTAAACATATAAGAAATGTGTAATTTTTCTTTAGTTTGTCAGGAACAAGATCTTCTATTACATTTTTATTTTGCATAAAAAAAATTTAGGACATTATGCAAACTCTTTTTCTTTCATGTAAAGGAAAGCAAAACAAGGAAAAGAAAACTTATGGAAAGAAAATCTTAGAAAGGAGGAAGAAGAAAAACAAAAGCGACTCCAAGAAGAAAAAACACAAGAAAAAGTTCAAGAAGTGGAGTGGAAAGCTGAGGAGAAACAAAGTAAGGATAAGGATGAAAATAATTGATTTGATTTTTCTGAAACAGAGCAACAAAAGCGAAAAGAAAAAAGTAGACTCTGATGAGGTTCAAAAAAAGAAGAAAATTAAAATGAATGCTAATCCTTAGAGTCAGAAAAGACCTTTTCCTAAATTAAACTTGGATGAGAAGTTCGTGGGTTTATTAAAACAAACTGAGGAAAAAAAAAAAAAGAAAAAACAGACTGAGGGTAGAAATCTTAAAGCGACACAAAGAAAAGAAGATAGGCGTCACTAACAATGCATAAACCCTGACACAGTTTTCATAATTGAAGTAAATAGTTTAAAATATTTTATTCCACCAGTGTAACTAAACTGTTTATTTTAATGAAGCAACAGTAAAGTTTTAAGTCTTTGCACACTGAAATTTTCTCAGAAGATATACATTGTTTTTGATACACCCCAGAGTGCATTTCTAAAATACTTTAAATATTATTGTATTTCTTCTGAATGCACAAACCTTTGAATCCTTATTAATGATACAATGTGTTGAAATTTTTCTAAGTTAAAGCATTTATTCTACAAATGAGCAAAGTAAAATATTTTTCATCTGTTGTCAAGTACACTTGTGAACTCTTGTACTGTTTTTGGAACCGTACTGATACATCTGTAGTCAACCCTGTTTACTGACTAACCTTCTGTCTGTGACCTCCCTTTTGTGCTCTTCTTCCCTGTGATATTCTGACCTTCGCAGATCAAATTAAGCCTCTTGGAACTTAGTCTCCCTCCACTTGACAATTACCACCCCACCTTCCTTCATCCATGCGCGAGGCACACCCTGCAAGCCATCTCTTTGTTTTACTGACTCCTACTTAAGACGAATATCCTTGTTTGTTTTTATATTGATTCTGTGACTATTGAAAATATTTAAATTCTAACAAGCCTATATTAAATGGATTTTCATGATACTGTTTGATGCTCAGTTTTTTTCTTTTCAAGCTCTTTATTGAGTCATAGCAAAGATGTGTATATATGAAAGAAGCAGATAATGACAATTATCTTCTCTTTAGGTGAGCCAGCCGGTGCTTTGGTAAATTACAGAGCATTATATTGCTTTGAAGCAAGGAACCATGACGAAATGAGTTTTAATTCTGGGGATATAATACAGGTAGGAAACAAAATCTTTTTTTCTCATGAATAAGCTGAATGCAATGTACTATATTACTTTCTATAATAATATTGAGTATACTATTATATAGTGATTTACCATTTTAAAAATATACCTTAAGCATTACCTCATTTGGTTCTTATGACATACCACAGAGCTGCATAGGACAGTTACTATTATTGCCATATTCTAGGTAGGAAGACTTAACACAAGTTGTAACTGTCAGCAGCACACTGCCAATGTGGAGTGCAAGTACATGTCTTTTGATTTCCATATCCAGTGTTCTTTCCACTCTGCCATACTGCTTTATGTCATAAAAGGTGATATTTTGTTATTTTAATAAATTACCAATGAAATTTGGGGGAGCTGGTTATTTTCTGGCAACCATTAAAAGAGTTGAAGGAGTTAAGTTCTGTAGCTCTAATTAGATGCAGACCCTTGTTCCTTGGAACAGAAAGATTTTTATTGTATAATCACAAATGATGTAAAATGAATGAATAAGAGAAGATGCAGGGAATAGCATTTGACAGAGCTATGTGATTTACTGGAAAGAATACAGGCTTTAGAAGCATACCGACTTCGATTTTAATCCTGGCTTCAGTTTTCTTCTTAGTAAATAAAGGCAGTATTACTTAGAATACCTAGCCAGTGTCTGTTTTCTTTTTTAACCTGCACTGTCACCAGTTTGGTGTATTTTATCAGTTAGGTAGCAAATGTTTAATGATACTTGGAATAGGGTTTACCAGAACCATCTATTCAAATGCTCAAGACAATCCCCAGCTACACATTCCTTCTGTTGCCATTGCCACATGGACAGTGCCATAGCTGCTCCTCAGCTGAGGAGCTTGAGTCCATAGTCTTCTGGCCCTGCCGTTCCTCCTCTTCTACTTGGTGATGATGAGGTAGTGTCCAAGAGTGAAGCAATGCAGCCTAGCTCTGTTTGGTCAAGAGCTTACTTATATTTTTGGTTATATCTTTTATTTGTTTCAGCAAATACTTGTTGGGAGCTATGATAGGCGAGGGATATAGTGAACAAGACAGTCTCTGCTCTTAGTGAGTTTATGGTTTAATGAGAAAGACACATCCTAAAGAAGTAGAGGAAGAAAGGGTGTAGACTGCTTCCAGCTTTAGAGCAGACGTCTCCCACAGTCAGAGAGCCAGTCTGGTGGTAGTGACAGCAGGAACATAATGTTAGCTGGAGTTTCTTGAGCGCTTGTATTCTCTGCCGAATCTTTGACGTAAAGAATGAGTCATGAGTTACTACCAGATACCTGATTTGGACAGCTTGGTTGATAATGGTGTTCATTCATTAAGACAGAAAGATTAGAAGGAGGAAATTTAAGTGGGAATTACAATGAGTTCAGTTTGGGATGAGTTTCAGATTTCTAGGCAGCAGTTGGATATCCAGAGATATCTAGAGGCCAGTTTGGATGTCATCAGTGTGTTGTGATCGTTATTGAAGACGACTGTGGCAGAGCTCATCGAAGGGTGTAATAAAGAAGGGGGAAGATGACTGAGGATGCAATCCCTGAAAAGCACGGACATGGAAGGGATTGTTAGAGGAGAGGGAGCCATAAAAGAATGACTAGAGGTAGGAACAAAACAGAGTTTAGTGTCAGGGACATTTGAGACGAGTGGTCCACATGTTAAATAAGACAGTACTAAAAAAATAACCATTAGATTAACAACAGCACAGTTATTGTTAACCTTGAGGAGAAGAGTATTAGTTGAGTGGAGTGGTGGGGGAAGAAGCCAGATTTCAGTGAGTTGAGGAACAGTTGGAAGGGAGGAAGAGGAGACAGTGAATATATGAAACTCTCTGAAGGAGCTTGACTTTTGAAAGAGGGGAGGGAGCAAAGGTGGTAAATAATGAGGAATGTGGGTTGAGGGAAGTTGTTCTTGTTTTTTTTTTTGTTTTTTAACTTGGCAGAAGCTTGAGCAAGTTTAAATAATAGAAAGGATCTGCAGAGGAAAAGGGTTAATGATACCAGAAAGAATAAATCACCAATGGAGGGAGGTGTTTTTTCTAATTAAAATGTAATTTACATTGAGTGAAGTACACAACCATAAGTGTACAGCTCAAATAATTTGTTCATGTATATAGATCTTTGAAACCACCACTCAATTCAACATACAGAACACAGAGCACTCAGGAAGGCACCTCATGCCTCACTGTCAGACCTCTCTGTTCTGACCAATGGATGGAGAGGAGGAAGATTCATGATAATCTTGAGGGCTTGGGGTCTATAGCACAGGAAGAGGGAGAGGTGGAAGGGCTAGATACACTTTGCTTCGTGATTGGAGGGCTGGACGAAGGGATGGATGGGATCATAACTTGTGCTGAGGTAGAGGTGAGGTCAAATCTGAGGGCTTCTGTATTGTTGGTAAGATAGGAGGCAACATCTGGTCAACTTAATGAATGAAGGTGGCCGAGGAGGTTTGAGTGAAAGTGAAAAAGATGATAAATTCCACTGAACCATGGCAACATTTTTCATGACAACCTATTTTTCTATCCTTATCTGTTAATGATATTTCTGAAGTAATAGTTTCCCTAGGCCTGTGAGAATTTATGTAAATTTTTCTAGTTTAACTCTCTATGTAAATTGACAACTAGAAATCAATTAGAATTATAAACAACAGGTATGAAATTGGTTAAAATTGACCCCTTACAGAGCCAACCTGGTCTAACTCTGAATAATAAATGATTGGGCCTTTTCTTCTTCAGAAGGTTGAAAACATTAGGAAATAGTACTAAAGAAATTTTGCTTTTAAAAGTTTGTAAGAAAAGGAGGAAGTGAGTGTTTGAATGCCAGTACTCATACCTTTCAATGATTCCTTGCCTTTAGACCAAATATTTAAATCAGGTTTAGGTTGCATATTCCTCAGGGTTTATTATGTTCTTGCCTTCATTTTTAGTGCTCTGGATTAGCTATTTTAAACTAGTCTTAACTAGATCTACAGGATAATATTTTATCAATGGTTCCTTTGTTCTATTTCGGAACACCATTTTATGGTAATTAGATAGTTATGATACTATCTGTGTAATTAACCAAAGCAGCTTAGATTGAGGGATTTTTTAAATATCTCATTCATGATGTAATAAATAGCCAGACATATGGCATTAAAATGAGAATTATTTACCATAAACACAAATGAAGTTGCCTGATAATAACTCCATTTGTTATTAATTAAACTTTGAATCTGTTGTTTATCTAATTTAGAATAGTCTATTCAAGTTAACATTTGTTGAGTTTCTAGCCATGTGCCCACTGGGGATATATAAAAATGAATAAGGAAGGCAAAGTTTAGGAAGAAAAAAGAAATATGTATAATTGTACAAAATATAATGTGATATGTTTAGATTAACCATTTAAGGAAATAAAGTGCTATAGGAACCCAGAAGATGAAGCAATAACACAACCAAATAGCATTGGGGACATTTTCCCCAAGGATAGGATGGAGAAAGGGCTCAAAGTATTATGCTTTATACTTGTTTAGAGCTTTACAGTTTACTAAGCACTTTTATAAATATTCTTAATTTAATCCTCAGAATAACCTGGAGGAAGGTAGGGCAGGTATTTTCCCCCCAAATTTATGGATGAACAAACTGAGGCTTTAGATGATATTCATTACCTTACAGCAGATTACCAGCCAGGTGGCGTGGCTAAGACTGAAACATGGTTCACTTAACTCCAAAGTCTGTGTTCTTTCCCCTAAACCCGACAAAATTCTGGCAGGAGGAATATCTTGAACAAAAACACTGAGCCTGGTGTGTTTAAAGAATGTCACATAACCACTTACCTAGAATATGGGACAAATATTAGGAGATGAAGCTAGAAAGGTAAGTTGGTACTTGACAAAGAAACCACAATTTCAGAGGCCTTGAATTCTACACTAAGAAGTTTGAACTTTGAAGAGCTTAAAACTAGAGAGATGGGATCTTCTAGGATAAAAATCGTGATGGATCTGCAGTGACTCAGCACAGAATAAAAGACATCAAGATTGGAAATGGAGAAGTAAGAGTTAATTTGCAGAAGACATGATTGTGTAGAAAATCCCATAGAATCTTAAAAAGAAAAAAAAGCTACTAGAAGTAATAAGTGAGTTTAGCAAAGTTGCAGGAAACAAGATCAATATACAGAAATTAGTTGTATTTCTTCATACAAGCAATGGATATTCAGAAATTGAAATTAAAAATAACATTTACAGTAACATACAAAATATGAAATGCTTAGATATAAAACTGACAAAAGATGTACAGGACCTGTTTATTGAAAATTACAAAGTATTGTTGAGAAAAATGGAAGACCTAAATAAATGGAAAGCTATACCATGTTTATGGATTGGAAGACTCTGTATTGATAAGAAAGCAATTCTCCTCAAATTGTTCTATAGATTCAAGGCAGTTTCAATCAAACTCCCACCAGGCTTTTTTTTTTTTAAGAATATAAGCTATGCAGTTTAATTGTATACATTGGTGTTAAGATTTTTGGTCTTATTACTTGCATATGTGATCTGTTTAACACTCTTTAAAACAGAACATCATTGAGTAGCAATCAGATTTCAAAAAGTCTTCCAAGTACAGCCAGACAGTTGTCTATGTGATATGCTACATATGACAGCATAGAATGTACAATTGTATTAGCACAGACTTCTTTTCCAAGGGGTATTTTCACACGTCTAATAGGTCTCGTGCACAAGATAACAGAAACAGCAATATCGGCGTCTCTCAATCACATTAAGTTCATCAGACATATTAAAAGGGTAGCCCTTTTTAATAGAGAATTTTATACATATTATATATATATTTTTAACATTTTTTTCCTAAATTATCTCTGTTTTAGATAAATACAGAGCTTAGGAAATAATACTTAAATGAGAACAGTTTGGGCAAATCCTCAGGCTCTATCCTACAAGTGTTCCATTCAGGAAGATCTCAGTACTTCTTTTCCACTTTTTTGTAAAAATTTACAAGCTGATTCATAACCAAACCACTTTGGAAAAAGAAGAACAAAGTTGGAGATCTTATGCTACCTGATTATAAGGCTTATTATAAAAGTTATAGCAATAAGAATGGTGTAGTATTAGTATCTAGATTGGAAAATAGACAAGTGGAACAGAATAACTGGATCTACAACTGCATATTTATATAACTGATTTTTTATAAAGCTGCAAAGGCAACTCAATGGAGAAAGGATAGTCTTTTTTTTATATATAAATTTATGTATTTATTTATTTTTGGCTGCACTGGGTCTTTGTTGCTGCGCAGACTTTCTCTAGTTGCGGCAAGCGGGGGCTACTCTTTGTTGAGGTGTGCGAGCTTCTTATTGCGGTGGCTTCTCTTGTTGCGGAACGCGGGCTCTAGGGCGCATGGGCTTCAGTAGTTGTGGCTCGTGGGCTCTAGAGCGCAGGCTCAGCAGTTGTGGTGCATAGGCTTAGTTGCTCTGCGGCATGTGAGATCTTCCTGGACCAGAGCTCGAACCCATGTCCCCTGCATTGGCAGGCGGATTCTTACCCACTGCACCACCAGGGAAGTCCTAGTCTTTTCAAAAAAGCAAATGACATTGGAACATTTGGATATCCATATGCACAAAAATGAATTTTGATTTATTCCTTACAACATATATGAAAGTTAACTCAAAATAGATCAGAGGTAAATCCTGAAATGTAAAACCTAGAACTGTAGAACTTCTAGAAAAAGACATTGGAGAAAATCCTTACAACATAGTACAAGGTTTCTTTTTAATAGAGAAGGTTCTATAATTGATTGTGATAATGGTTGCATAAGTGAATATACTAAAATCCATTGATTTGTGTACTTTAAATGGGAGGATTGTATGGTGAATTATATCTCAATAAAGTCATGGTGAATTATATCTCAATAAAGTCATTATTATCAGTAAAATAAGTTAAACATGCATCTACCATATGAGCCAGCCCTGTCACTCCTAGATCTTTACTCGAGAGAATTGAAAGCATATGTCCATACAAAGACAAATGTTTATGGCAGCTTTATTTGTAATAGCCAGAAACTGGAAACAATTCAATCTTCCATCAGTAGGTAAATAGACAAATTGTGGTACATCATACAATGTAATATTACTCAACAATAAAATGAAATGAACTATTCACATTCACTACAACATGGATGGATCTCAAAATAATAATAAATAATAGGCCGAGTAAAAGTCAGACCCCCCAGAAAGGGATGTATATTGTGTGATTTTATTTATATAAAGTTCTAGAGCATGCAGACTAATTTATAATGACAAAAAGCAGACCAGTGTCTTCCTGGAGATGGGGTGTGGGTCAAGTGGAGGAGTGGGAGGGAGTGCTTTCAGTAGAGCAAAAGGAGACATTTTGGGTTGATAGATATGTTTATTATCTTGGTTGTGTGATTTTTCACAACTGTATACGTATGTCAAAACTTATCACATTTAATACCTTAAATGTGGAATTTATAATATGCTAATTACACCTCAAAAAAAGTGTTTTTAAAAATCTTAATGGATATGGAATCACCATACAAATTCTACATGATTTTGATAGGTAAAACACTGTCAAATCTATTTTAGAAAGGTTATCTAAAAAGTGTAGAAAATGGAGTGGAGAACAGAGACATAGTTGGCATATTTATTCAATGAATTAAGCAAATATGTATTATGCTGGGCAATGGGTATCAATTAAAAGGCTCACAGACAAATGGAAGAGATACATGTAAATAAAGAATCACACAGTATGATGATGCATGCTATCTCATGACAGTATGTATGAGGTAACTCTGACCTAGTTTGGGGGCAGTTAATAGAATCTTGAAGGATGAGTAAAGATTACAGTAATCTAGGTGTGAAATGAAAAAGGCCTGAAGTAGGTTAGGAGGGTAGGGTTGAAAAAAAAAAAAATTCGAAAGAGCTTTTAGAAGCAAAATCAACAGTTTGGATATGGAAGTGTAAGGAGGTAAGAGCCAAAGATTTTTTTTTTTTACATCTTTATTGGAGTATAATTGCTTTACAATGGTGTGTTAGTTTCTGCTTTTATAACAAAGTGAACCAATTATACATATACATATGTCCCCATATCTCTTCCCTCTTGCATCTCCCTCCCTCCCACCCTCCCTATCCAAAGATTTTTTATTTAGAATGACTAAGTCTTTGATTGTAAGAATAACAGAGATACAGGAATTTAGGAGAAGGAGTAGACTGGGGAAGAAAACAAGTTCAATCAATCTTAGACTTGAGCTGGAAGTTCTTGTGGATCATCCAGTTGAAGATATCTGGGAAGTAGTTGAAAGTACAGGCTTATCCCATTTGAAAAAAGAAGTCAGTTCTGCAAATATATCATATAAAGAACTGATCACTATAGAAGTGAGTGGGCCTCTTCCAGAAGTGTATAGTATGAAGTAAGAGAGCCAGTGATAAAACTTGAGATATCATCAGTGTTTAAAGGACAAAGGACCAAGAAGCGGAAGAAGGGGTGCTGTGAGGACAGAGGATGCCAGACTATAGGAGGGAAATGTCTGGGAGAAGAAATGAAGCTATAAATCACCTCTGTGTTTTACCAGCTGGAAAATAGTATTCAGAAAAAGTTTTCTGTTTCTCCTAGAGAGTTCAAAAAGAGTCTGATAGGAATGTAAACTATTTTTATGTATTAACTTGGATAAAATTAAAAATTTAAATTTAAAAAGGCACCTTGTCCATCATTAGAGATAATAATCTACTGTAGAAAGTGCTTTAGCTGTTTAGTTAGACGGACTTAATTCTGAAAATTAGGCTGCTGGACAGTGGTCTGCATCTCTTTCCTTTGTAAATAAGTGGCTTTCTAACCACTGTTAACCCTACTTTTTGTTTCCATAGGTTGATGAAAAAACCGTAGGAGAACCTGGTTGGCTTTATGGTAGTTTTCAAGGAAATTTTGGCTGGTTTCCATGCAACTATGTAGAAAAAATAACGTCTGAAAAATCTGTGTCGCCTAAGAAGGCCTTACTTCCTCCTACAGTGTCTTTATCTGCTACCTCAACTTCTGAGTAAGTTTTTAGCTAATAATGGAGTTTACACGTCTCTGCAAATGTGTGAACACCTAATATGTATTTGTGTCAACCTGCTACTTAATCATATTGTAATCTGCACTGGACTCTCTAAGAGTACCTTTTGTTCCAAATTTAATTCTGAAGTTTAGTAAATAAAAACATGGGTCAGTAGTTCATAAATTTTTTTTTTTGCCCAAGTTGTGTTTCAACACAATGTATATTATATACAAATAGATAAATTGGTAGTACTTCATAAAATTCTGAACAATTAAGTATACTTTTGTCATATTGTTATATTTATAGATCACTTTCTTCAAATCAACCAGCATCAGTGACTGATTATCAAAACGTATCGTTTTCAAGCCTAACTGTTAACACATCATGGCAGAAAAAATCAGCTTTTACTCGCACTGTGTCCCCTGTATCTACATCACCTATTCACGGACAGGTATGTATCTTTAATTTTCTTGTGTTTTATTCTTTGACATTGCTCCTGGTTCACATAAAATAGAATGAAGATTTTTGTACAAGGCCATCATTTACTCATCTAACCAAAGTTTGTATCATTTAGTTTCTTTTCTTACCATTCATATGTGATATGAGGTTGAAGAAATTATTATTAGAGGTTTCCCAACAATTTATTCTCATAGTAGCAAGTTGCTACCAGCTAAGGTTTCTGAGCTCAAAATATCATTTTTACAAATCTGATTATAGTCTTAATTTGTAGTTATTGTAAGAAGAGCTTGGGCTTGGGGTTTTTTTGTTTGTGTTTTCCTTAAGTAAGTCATTTGTGTGAGAACTGTGTTATATATATGTTTAGCCTCTGGTTTAGATGTAACCGAGATGCCAGCATTGTTACATTAACATTATTAAAAAGAAATTGCAGACTTCATCAGAATAGAGTCCTTCACTCAAAAAATGTTTACTGTGTGACCACAGGTTCCAGGCATTTATTATGTGCTAGAAATTTAATGGAAAAAAAAAAAACCTCTGCCATTAAGAAGTCAATCTAATGAAGACAAACATATAAATAAATAACTGTATGAGAAGTGTTGTAATAAAGATATTTTATGAAATCTTGAGGGGTATAGGAGAGAGCATTTCAATTCAATCTGTGGGAATTGGAGCAGGCTTCACAATAGGTAAGGCATTTCAGTCGAACCTTCAAAAATAAGCAAGCTTTCACCAAACAAAGAAGGAAAGTTATTCCTGTGAAAGAACAATTTGGGAAAAGTCACTGAAGCATGTTAACAAGAGGAGTTTATAGGAAACAAGTATTGTTTATAGTGTGGCTAGAGTACAGGATTCATGAAGAAAGGGTTAAGTGAAGTTGGAGAGGTTGAGGTTTATTTGTGAAGCATTTAATACCATGCTAAGCAACTCGCAGTGGAAAGCCCATGAAGGTTTTTAAGAGGAGAGTTGAAGTGTATATTTTAGAAGGATAACTCTGGCAGTAGTATAGAGGCCAGATTGTGGAAGGAAGCAAAGGGAGGAGACCAACAAAGGGAGGATATTACAATAGCTAAGTAACAGATGATGTGAACCAGTAATGAAAATATATAGAAGAGGAGATGGACTTAAAAGAGTGTTAGGAGTCAGCATAAAATTGGCAATTCATTGAATGTGAAGAGTGAGGAAGAAGTTGGAGTTAAACATACCTCTTCCGGGTCTTTAGCTTGAGTAACTGAGAGGATGACAGTACCGGAGGAGTGGGTTTTGTGGGTTCTAAAAGTGATTACATTTCAGATGTGCAACTTAGGTATTTGTAGGAGGGACAACCTGCTGGGAAGGCCCAGCAGGCAGCTTGATTTACAAGTCTGGAGCTCAAAAGATAAAGTTATAATTAAGATACAGATTTGAGAAATCATAGGCATAAATAAGATTAGGGAAATCATGTAAAACAGGAAGGGAAGGAGACTGGACCAAAGAGGAGCCATCAATCACCAGAGAGTGAACTTCACGAACTGCAGGGGTTTTAGTGATGTCAGCACTGTTCAGAGATCAGAGAAGGTAAGGGTTTGCAAGAAGCTTTTGGCTCTGATGTTATCAATGATCTTGTCAAGAGATTCAGTATTGTGATGGTTACAGAAGCTAAATTAGAATGGACTGAGGGGTGAAATTGGAAAGCAAGTTTAAGACTGTTCTTTCTTTAAGGAAGTTAGAAGTAGAAGTAAGGGGACTTCCCTGGTGGTCCGGTGGTTAAGACTCCACACTCCCAATGCAGAGGGCCAGGTTCAATCCCTGGTCAGGGAACTAGATCCCAAATGCCACAACCTAAGATCCCACATGCAGCAACTAAGATCCCAGTACAGCCAAATAAATAAATAAATATTTTTTAAGAATTAAAAAAAAGAAGTAGAAGTAAATAGAGAAGTGGAAAGTTAAAAGATTCAAGAGAATTCACAGTGTTACAAAATATTGTTAGAAGGTGGGAGGACATGATAGAAAGTTTAGAGCACAGGTAAAGAGGCTAGCCCTATCAACAAAATGAAAACACTACTTCCTCTGAGAGAAGAAGGAAAGAAAGAAGGATGAATAAGAATACGAAGACGTTATGAAACAGAAAACAGAAAAGTGGAAGGAGGCCCATCACAACTGCATCTCCATTCCTAGTGGAATAAACAGAATCCACTGCAGTGAGGAGACTTTGGAAACTGGAGGAGAGAAAGGGTTCCCCTTTTCATTTGTTCTGTGATACATACTTGATGGATCTATGAGTACACTTCTTGCATACCCAGGGTTTACCTTCCATACCTGTGATACTTAGTGCCAAGACGTTTCCTTGAATGGTAGCTGTTGGGTCTTTAACTTCACAGAAGGCTATTCAGGTGGTTGTCTGTCATATATAATTTTAAGTTGGTTAGTAGATTAAGTCACCATTGATATTAAGTCACCACCACACCAAACTGGTCTGCTGTTTGAGCAGTAAGTATGTTATATACTAGAAAACAAAAATCATGGTTACCATTGTGTTTTTTGTTTGTTTGTTTTTAATTTTGTGGTTTTGATTTCACAGGGACAGGTTGTAGAAAACCTAAAAGCACAGGCCCTTTGTTCCTGGACTGCAAAGAAAGATAACCACTTGAACTTCTCAAAACATGATATCATTACTGTCTTGGAGCAGCAAGAAAATTGGTGGTTTGGGGAGGTGCATGGAGGAAGAGGATGGTTTCCAAAATCTTACGTCAAAATCATCCCTGGGAGTGAAGTCAGGTGGGAAGAGTAAGCATTTTTTTTTTTTTTTTTTTGGTGGTACGCGGGCCTCTCACTGCTGTGGCCTCTCCTGTTGCGGAGCAACAGGCTCCAGACACGCGGGCTCAGCGGCCATGGCTCACGGGCCCAGCCGCTCCGCGGCATGTGGGATCTTCCCGGACCGGGGCACGAACCCGTGTCCCCTGCATCGGCAGGCGGACTCTCAACCACTGTGCCACCAGGGAAGCCCAAGAGTAAGCATTTTTGTGTGTTTACATGAGGCGTGGATGTTGGTATTTTCACTGATGAGTCAGCCACAGTACAGTTGGCTGTGCAGGAAAATTAAAAGTTTATGCTTGAGTTTGATATCAGAAGGGTGATTCCTAGAGTGAAAAAAATCATACCTCAGATGATTTGTTCCAATTTTTGAACATCTTTTATTCTAGTTATTTCAGATTCCTAAAGTTTTCAAAGTGCTTAAGATTTTAGTTCTGTTGCTTTCTTTGTACTAACATCAGGTCAGTTAGAGAAGTTATTTTTCATTTCCTTTGGAGGTTTCTCCCTTATTATTTACTGTAAATTGTCAATATTTAGACAAATCAATACCGAGGGCCTCGCCTTTGCCAGAGTGAGGCGTTCCCATCTCTGGGCCTCCAGAGTTCCCTGAACATTACGTTTCTTACGGCTCATGACACACTGTGTTGTAGTTATTTACTTTCTTACCTATATCCCTTATTAGGTCATAAACTCCAGAGGGTGGGATTCACGTCTTTTTTGTTCATTTTTCAGTTTTTCCATACCTAGTGTGATCTTAATGCATAGTAGCTGCTCAATCATATTTACTTAGTAAATGAGGAGAGAAGCGAATGAAAGGACAATCAAATGAATGAACTTTTGCATGAACAAAAAACAAAACCAGATAAGGTCTCTGGCCTTTGTTTCCCAGTCTGTAAGGGAGTCAGGTCATCAAACTTCTTTAATACAAACAAATAAGTACTCTAATATAGCTGTGGGTAATTATCATTTGTGTTTTATATGGAAATTGATCTAAATAGAAAAGCAAAATGATTTATTGAAAAGGAACGGGGTCTTTGGAAATCAAGAGCCTTGAGTTCTGATTCTGCTATTTTTGCCAGACTGTATGGGGTAACCTGCTTGGTCTCTAGTTTTTTAATTGGTTGAATGAAAATAATAAACTAAAAAATCTTTAAAAATCCTTTCAGTGCTAAGGTTCTATACATCAATTTTCAGTTCAAATGCAGAAATTTACTTTTCAGACTGACATGGAATTTTAGATTTAGAGTGTGTAATAACAGGAACAACAATAATACATAGCTGATGTGTATGCTGGCACTGTGCTAGACCCTTTATAGTAATTATCTTATTTAAACTCCATGACATTTTACAGAGAAGGAAAACTTAAACACAAAGGGATTAAGTTTAAATGCCTTAAAGGGCATTTCTTCTAACTTTTCATTCAATTACTGATCTTTTCTAACAGATAAGGCATGCAACTCGAAATGCTGCGGTAATGGAGAATTCAGCAAGGCAGTCCATTCAGTGTGCCCATGAGTTGTAGTAAGGGTCCCCTCTGTTAACCTATAAACTGCTTCACTATACAATTTACTCACAGGTCCTGGGGAGCCCTGATGTATTCTACAGATGTCTAGTTCTTAAAATGCCACAGTTTTCCAGATTTTTGAAAACAGTTTCCTGGGTTAAGTTGGAAATAAAAGCTATGTATGTTCCAAAATGTAAAAATAAAGTTCTGTTATTTTTACATATTTTTAAATGTACTGTGCTCTAAACAAGTAGTAAAATTTATATACTGCCCTTATTTTACTCTAAACCAAGCCAAGTCCCATGCGTGCTTTACCAAATAACTGCCCATTTACCAATGCCTCATGTCTTTTAAAAGTTACTTTAGAAAGGCAAAATATCTCACATTTGAAAAACTATTTATAAATCATATTGAAATTACCTCAATAGATTTAAAAAATTAAGTCGTTTGTAAGTAGGCAGTTCTTAATCCACTAGGATTTTGCATATGAGGGTATTTCTAGCCTGTGTACTGAGACAATATTTCAATTAATTTTAGCCCTTAAAAAGAATGCACTGCTAAAACCTCCTGTTTTCATCAAATCACCTTTTTTATTTACTTGTTGATGTCTTTTTTTGTTATTTTATTATTTTTTTTAATCTGCTTGTGTGTATATTTGGCAGACCAGAAGCTTTGTATGCAGCTGTAAACAAGAAACCTACCTCTGCAGCCTCTACAGTGGGAGAAGGTGAGCTTTTGGCGATTTATAAATTAGATGGAAGTCAAATTAGCTACTGACTTCTCACAGTTGTTACTCTCCTTACTTCTGTGTCTTCAGTGTTAAAGTGAGGTTAGGAAAACCTGCTCCTGGTCTATTTCACATGAATATTGAGGATATAGAAAGTATATAGCTGAAAATACTTGACGCTTTTAGAAAATCAGTACTATAAAAATTCAGCATAGACTGCCTCAATAAATAAGATCATAGATAAGTGTTGCAATGAGATAGCATGAAGTCTTTTGTTTTCCTTTTATTATATATCTAGATTATAGATGTTTAGAATATAAGGAAATTTCAGTACATTTAGTTGTTTATGAATTGCATTTGTTTGTTTGTTTGTTTTTGGCCTTACTGCGCGGCTTGTGGGATTTTTAGTTCCCTGACCAGGGATTGAACCCGGGCCCTCAGCAGTGAGAGTGTGGAGTCCTAACCACTGGACCGCCAGGGAATTCCCTGAATTGCATTTTCTTTTCTTTTTTCTTTTTTTTTTTTTTTTTGCGGTACACGGGCCTCTCACTGTTGTGGCCTCTCCTGTTGCGGAGCACAGGCTCCGGACGCACAGGCCCAGCGGCCATGGCTCACGGGCCCAGCCGCTCCGCCGCATGCGGGACCCTCCTGGACCAGGGCACAAACCCACGTCCCCCGCATCGGCAGGCGGACTCACAACCACTGCACCACCAGGGAAGCCCCCTGAATTGCATTTTAATTACAGTGTACCATATAAATCATTAAGTAGGATTTGAAATCAAGATACACTTTAATCATAAATATTACAAAGAATTTTTCTATTGCCCTTTGGGTTGTTTGAGTATCTTAATTTTGATATTGTGCTGAAAAATGTCCACCCTTATTTCAGACAATATTTTTATTTAATAGTTTTATAGGTTTATAAATGAATTATATATTCACTGTAAAATTAGTTGAACAGTTTAAGTACATTTTGTTTATATTGCTCAAGAAAATCAGCTTAATGGTAAATTAAACAGTTTATTCAGTATCTACTACATTAGAGATTGTATGCTAGAGCCTGAAATATACACGGATGAATAAAATAGTTTCCCAAGTGCTCACAGTAAAATGGGAAGGCTAGGCATATAATTGTAATAAATTCTATAATGAATGAACAAAAACATAATTTTGAGTTAGGACCTGTGAATCCACAGAGGTGGCCGTGTTGAATCATCTTAAACAATGAGTAAATTCTTGCTTAGTGACGAAGAGAAAGCTTGGTGGACAGAGGGAAAGGTATGAGCCAGGGCTCAGCTGTGAAAGGTTAGGGAACTCGAGTCACCAGCAAGGCTGCAACCAGAGGTTTACTGTGGAATAACTGCAGTGGAATGATCCTAGGAAAGTGGTGAGGAGCATTTTGGAAAGGACCTGGCTTGTTGCAACATACCTTAACCTTGTAAGCATTTTTCATCTTCTTAAGTCAGCTAAATTGAATAATATGGGAATGTGGATAGTAAATAGTTTCCGGATACTGGTTCTGGCCATCTCCAGTTTATGATCTACAGAGCAAATTTCATGTCAACAAATACAAATAGTACTAGAAGAAAGAAAAAGAGACTTCTAAAACCTGGTCATTGACTGTTTCTTCTAAGTACTAGTAATCATCTGAACAAAAAAACAAAGCCAGTATAAAAACTTAGACATTTCCCATAAGGTTATTCATGAACAAATATTTATTGAGCATCTATTCTGTGCCAAGCACTGTGCTAGGAGCTGGGCCATTGTGATGGAAATTGGCCTCTAGTACTGATGTCAGCTGAATAGTGGGCATTTCCATAACTGTATGTAAAAGAATTAAAGAGAAAAGAATTTAGCAGATTAAACTATATGTAAGAAGGTTAAAAAAAACTTTTCATGTCTTGACTCTCTGTAAAGATACTGTTATCTATTTGTAGTTTTGGGGTTATTCTCTGTGACATGATGATGATGATGGTGATGATCATGGTGATGACGATACGGTTGGGGAAAAAAGAAACCCTGTGATAAAGTTTTATGTTCAGTCAAAGACATAATCTTTTTCTAAGAAATTATTAAATAATTACTTCATTCCATTTTCTACCTTAACATCTCTTTACATTAAGTTTCCTTAAGTCACAAGGGCTTTTACAGTAAAATTACTCAAGATCTTGGAGATCAACAGTTTTTTTTTTTTACGTCTGTAATCTTGCAACCAAAACTAGTTTCTTTTTGCTTTGTTTCCTGCAGAGTATATTGCACTTTATCCGTATTCAAGTGCAGAACCTGGAGATTTGACTTTCACTGAAGGTGAAGAAATATTGGTGACCCAGAAAGATGGAGAATGGTGGACAGGAAGTATCGGAGATAGAACTGGAATTTTTCCATCAAATTACGTCAAACCAAAAGATCACGAGGTAGAGTTATTTTGATATAGAAATAGAAGCATTCCGTTCCTGTTGATCAGGGTTCATATTTAAAACAGATGCATGTATATGGTTTTGGTCAGGCTGCTTTGGTTACAAGGAAGCCACTTAAGGTAGCTTCAGTAAAATGTAGTTTATTATAGGGATCCTGTTAGAGAGATAAGGGCAAAACTATTTCTATGAAATTCCAAGGACAAGAGCCATAGATAGGGCTTGGGCCTCATGATAACTGAAGTTAGGGAATGGTCTGGATTCATGGAGGCTTACAAGGGACTGCCTTGAAGAAGTCTGTAAATCTTTAAGGCTCTGACATTAATGTGACCCAGCCCACACACTGAGTTCCTGCTGTGTTTCATCCCACCACTAGTATGATATAGTGTAGCAGTTCTCAGACTTTTTGGTTTCAGGAACTTTTTACATTCTTAAAAATTATTAGGGACTCCAAAGTTTCTGAAAATATATGGATTATATCTAGCAATACTTTCCATATTAGAAATTAAAACAGAAATTTTAAAAATATTTATTAATTCATTTTGAAATAACAAAATTAAACCCATTATATGATGACATAACTTGCTTTTTAAAATTTTTTTTCTGTTTTTTTAAAATTTATATTCTCTTGCACATAAAAGTCATAAGCACATATGTATAAATATATTTTTTTCCTCATTTTAAGAACCTATCCCACTTTATTTTATTTTTATTTATTTTTTTGTATGTGTCCAATGAACGTTTATTATTACTATTATTATCATTACTGTTACCACTACTTCTCCCCTTTTAGGAATACAGGGAGAGAGGAAGTGTGCACGTAGGTAGAATTTTTCTCCACCTCTACTTCCGACAGACAATTTCAGATTTAGAAGCCTCTGGAGCAGTAGTTCTTAAACTTTTCTAACTCAGAGAGGCTGGTGAAAATTACAACCTCTCCTTGAATAAATTCACCTACACACAAAATATTGTACACAGTTTTGCGAGTGGGATAAGGACCCTTAGAAGGGATAAGCCCTTTTAGCATAAACTCTAGACTTCCCAGGGTGGTGGGACAAGGAGCCAGATGCAGTTCTATAGACAGTGTTTACAAGCACTACATTACGTGTGGAGAGAGAACGCAGACACATTTAAAAGAGACTTTAAAATAGCCACTGAACTCATGTAGCCAACATTCAACAGAGTAATAATTAACATGTGTCCAAGCCTCTGTTGAACATTCTGGAATATGCAAAGATCTATAAGACTCTAGACGTCAGGGTCTCAGATTCTTGTGGTGGAGAAGTACTAGACCAGAGTCATGTTTAAGGTCCAGGGGCATGGAGCCAGGAGCCAGCTTGCTGGAAGTGGCGACTGAGTGGCTACACTCATTACTGTAAAGCTAATGATGAATTAAAAACATTTACTGAGCTGCTGCAGTCGATAAAAGCCCCAATTAAGGCACCATTAAGGGACTTAACCGCGTAATGGTGGGGAAGCATTCCTGAAAAGGTTTAATGATCTCAGATCCTGACATAGCCGGGAAGTCATTAGTCATTAATGCCACGTCTAGATCTTGATTATGAAGTTCTCTATAAGAAAACACTTGGCATATAATAGCACACAAGATTATACCTGATTTGTTACAGAGAGCAAGATATACCTTTTCAAACGTGTTTTTAAATCTCTTATGTGTTCAGGTAAGAAAAGTGGCCAATTATGAGCAGAAACTGCCTAGTGAAAATCCATAGCATGATCGCATGCCAATTAGATAAGCAATACCACTCAAGTAATAATAGTAATAATATAGTAATAATATTTCCATTATAATAATAATGGAAATACAAAATGGAACATGGTATTGTACTAATTAATAAGACTGTGACTGTACCTATAAAGTAATTTGATTAATTCCCAGTGTAATGTGTGGAAACTCCTTTAACATAAAGCTACATTGAATCTAGAGAAAATTAAGCAGGTAGAGTCTCTGCCTTCTTAAGTATTCATGCCCTTACTCGTTCATTCAACAGCTGTTCACTGAGAGCATCTGTGTAAGGCTTGGTCGGGGGCATTGGGAAACAGGTGAACAAAGCAGTCAAGGTACTCATGAAAGATACAGTCCAAATAAATGATGATCAACTGTGATAAGTACAGTGAAGGAACAAACATGGTGCAGGTAACAACAGACTGAAGATCTTTTAAGATGAGGTGGTCAAGGGAAGGCCTCTGAGGAGCTGGTTCAACAAAGACCTGAACTGTAAGGAGGCCAGTCTTGAAAAGGCAAAGCAGGGGAAGAAGCGAGGGGTGGAACTTCTTGGCTGTTTAGCATCTGAATTCCTTTCCTGAATTCCTTCCCACGGTGTGAGTCTTGGTAAGGGGCAGGCTTCTCCAAAGCCCACCTACTCACTTTCCTAGCCTTCCTTGCAGTTAGAGTGTGGGAACATGACCCAGGCTTGGTCAGAGTCATCTGTCCAAGGCAGTGAATCAGGAACTAGTGATACCAAAAAGCATAGCTGAGAATTTCTTTTGGTGGCAATGAGTGTGGTAGCAACATTCAGTTTTTGGAGCAGTGATTCCAGGATATCCTTGTCTAAGGGAGCATTGCATTCAGAGGCAAAGGCAACAGAGCCCTCTTCAGGCTGGTTCTGGGTGTGATTTTGCCTGAAGTTCTGTTTGTCCAGCTTTGCTTTGTCTCTTCCTAATCTCCAGACCTCGTATTGCAGCCTTCCTGGAAATTCTGTGAGCCACCCAATACACTCCATTTCTCTTAGGCTTAAATCAGCCAGAGTCGGTTTCTGATGATTCCATCTAAAAATCCTGATAGACTGGAGTACATTGCAGGTAGATGCATATGCAATAGCCCTAAGGTGGGAGGAGAGGGAGAGAGAGCTTGGAGGAACTGAGAAAAACCCTGAGTGGCAGCATTAGAGAAAAGGTAGCAAGTGAATAAGATGGCTGCAGCCGGCGAGCCAGGCAAGAGGCAGAGCAAGCAGGTGTGCGTAGCAGAAGCCGGAAATGTGCTGGGCCTAGCCTTTTCTCAGGGACACTCAACTAGCTCCCGTGTCCTGATGGGATGTGTCTCTACTGGTCTCTGAGGGCTCCGAGGCAGCGCTGAAGGGTTCTGGTTGCGTGGTTGCCACTCTGCTGTGCCAAGGAATTCCAGACTGTTCTCTACTGAGAAGGCTAAGCCTGAACTTGTCATTTCCTGCTCTGTGAGATCGCTCTCTCTTTCTCTCCTTTAAGTACCAAGATATGTATCTCTAAAGGCATTTATAGCATTAATTTGGTTATATGTTTTTGAGTGTCATATCCATCATCAGACACTAGCTAACTCCCTGGGGTCACAGTGGGGAGGTGGGATGATTGCATGCCTTGGATTAAGACAGATCTGGATTTTATCTCAGACAAGTTGCTTCACTTCTCTGAACCACAGTTTTCTCATTTGAAAAATGAGGATAGTAGTACCTCATTGAGGATTACATGCCCTGTAAGTTACTATACAGTGCCTACCACGTAGTAGGCACTCTGTTATACTAGTCCTTTGTTCCTTAGTATTTCATGGAATTGAATAGAATCTTCTGCAGCTAGGAAAACAATATAAAATCCTTGCTTTTGTGCTTACCTTATTGTAAAGTGCTAATTTAGAATAAAGTACCTTACATTGCTTTCTTAGTTCAGAATTTGATCATGAAAATTTCCTTTTTCTTAAAAATTCCCTAAAGAGTTATTGCTATTTATTCAGCTCACTCCAGCAAAATTACTACCCCCCCAAAAAAAGACCATTTTTCCCCTTCTAACATCCTTATATTAATGATGTAGACTACAATTAAAACACTGCATCCAAAACCAGAAGGTAGATTTTGTTATTCTTGAGAAACAGAGGAAGATATTACTCAAGTCCTGATTGTCTTAGCCAAAATATTCCCTTATGTAATATTCCTTGGGCTTGAGTCTTTTTCATTTTAATAACTTGAAATCATAGATGTTCTATAGGTTTGTCATTGATTGACCAAATTCGTAACTCAGCTCTGAAGATATTAAAAACTTTAAAACATCACAAAACAAAAATCCTAGAGCCTCCCAAACCCCTTGCTTACTGACTTGAACACCGTAATTTAATCTAATGAATTGACAGTCTTAGAATCCTTTTCTTTCCTCCTTGGCTGCTGGTCTTTTTTTTTTTTTTTTTTTTTGAATTTTATTTATTATTTTTATAAATAAATATAAATAATAAGCAGGTTCTTATTAGTTATCCATTTTATACATATTAGTGTATACATGTCAATCCCAATCTCCTAATTCATCATACCACCACCACTTGCCCCCCTTGTTGTCCATACGTTTGTTCTCTACATCTGTGTCTCTATTTCTGCCCTGAACACTGGTTCATCTGTACCATTTTTCTAAGTTCCACATATATGCATTAATATATGATATTTGTTTTTCTCTTTCTGACTTACTTCACTCTGTTTGACAGTCTCTAGATCCATCCATGTCTCAACAAATAACCCAATTTCGTTCCTTTTTATGGCTGAGTAATCCATTGTATATATGTACCACATCTTCTTTATCCATTCATCTGTTGATGGGCATGTAGGTTGCTTCCATGACCTGGGTATTGTAAATAGAGCTGCAATGAACATTGGGATGCATGTGTCTTTTTGAATTATGGTTTTCTCAGAGTATATGCCCAGTAGTGGGATTGCTGGATCATATGGTAATTCTGTTTTTAGTTGCTTAAGGAACCTCCATACTGTTCTCCATAGTGGCTGTATCAGTTTACATTCCCACCAACAGTGCAAGAGGGTTCCCTTTTCTCCACACCCTCTCCAGCATTTGCTGTTTGTAGATTTTCTGATGATGCCCATTCTAACTGGTGTGAGGTATTACCTCATTGTAGTTTTGATTTGCATTTCTCTAATAATCAGTGAGGTTGAGCAGCTTTTCACATGCCTCTTGGCCATCTGTATGTCTTCTTTGGAGAAATGTCTATTTAGGTCTTCTGGCCATTTTTGGATTGG